CAAGTTTTGCTTTCGTATCTACAGAAGATGTTTCCCATTTGGTTCTCTAGTTGATTCTGACGTCAGGTCTACATGGTACTCTGTCACTTAGAGAAAAGAGTGCGAACAACAAGTGATGATCGGTTTACAGCTTTGCGTCTCTTTTAACGAGAATATTCATTACAGATCGTCGTAAGTCGAACGATGTGTTAATAAAATGGATCATTGATATCTGTACCCCAGCCTTCCTATACCAGGCATACGGATACATGTCTCGATGCTCGAAGAAGGTGTTAATAATAGGCAGTTCGTTGTTTCCACAAAACCGCAACAACTCTATGCCGTTATTGTTGAAGTCGCCAGGGCCATTTTTTTCAATCACACCGTTCTACTTCTCAGTGTCTGCTGCGTTAGAATGAGTGACTCCGTATACGGCAAACTCCACGCCACTTCCTCAGGTAAGGACTCATATTCTTTCTTCAAATTGGCCGCATACACCTGTAATAAGGTCAAAGCTTTAGCCTCATAGCATCAATCGAAAATTGCCACTCTTCCGCTTACAAACTTGGCGCTTCGTTGACGAGAGTCCATAAATGTCGAGTTGGTACCTTACGGCCTCATCAAGTAACGCCTGCTTTTTCCCTCTGAGTGAGTATATATTCCAATTTCTGACTATAAGCTCCCACTGGCGGTGTCGTTCCTCGTTCCTCATGGAGCCTTTTCTGACGTGTATCGCGCTCTCTGCCTCCATTCAGAACGGGTGGCGACTCTGTTGCTGATTGGTATCTTCGTCGTTGTTCGTTTGATCTTCGTCGTCGTTTTGTCGATCTCCGGCAGCCGTTGTCGTGTTGCTACGCCCCTGGCAACCAAAAAGGTTGAGAAGGAACCAGGTTTTAGTCGCCGACATTTCGCAGCTTGCCTCAGTCCCCCAATAGCTTGCGCGATCGTTGGTAACCCTGGCATGGACCGATCATATAAGGTTCGATAATGGCAGCGCCATGAGGAACAGAGTGCTAAGCTTTCCGATGACCTCGCCACGGTGCCTAACCCTCCTCTCTCATCCGGGCTTAGGACTGGCAAAGTCGGAGTTGAATACTTTAGTAATGCTTCATAATATGTTAATACTTTTCACTGCTCTTAATATACAATGACGTGTTTTACCAGATTCTGCTAGTTACCAGCAGCCGAGACCCAAACACATGGGTTGTCCCCGGCGGAGGCATAGAGAAGAACGAAAGCAGTATGACAGCGGCTTGTCGCGAGGCGTTCGAAGAAGCTGGCGTCAGAGGTTTGATCGTTACATTCCTGGGCGAATTCACCGTAAGTTCTGTTATATCGACATCTGGACTGACTTGTTTTGATGCAAACTGATTGATACTTTTGCTTCCGACAGAAAGCGTTGAGTCACAGGTCTTCATCGTGATGTCAAAGTTTTGCTTTAATCGAAACGGCCGAAGTCTGTTTTTGTTTTGCGTAATTGCCGACAGTTAGGACAGCTTCCTCTAATTTGCTCTTTAGTTCTGAACAACAGAATATTTATTGTCTGATTATATTTAATATTATTCTTGCAGCCCATTTTGATGCTACCAAAGGGAAGCTTAAAAAATTTTGGTAGATTAACGATTAATGGCTCAATCGAATGAACATGTTACATGTGGTTTTTGAGTCAGTAACGATCGCTTATCCTTTTGGGTCGCTGAGGCAGACGCATGTCTCCAACATTCCCAATACATTACCAGTGTTTGAACTTCGGCAGAAGATAACCCGAATCTAGAGCAGAGCCCTTACATACACTTGCCCTAGACTGTTCTTGGCCGTCCCCGGAGTCTTTGGCTGAAAAGTTGTTTCACCTTCCTTTCTGAAAGCATTCACAATTCGTGCACCAACCATCGCAGTTGTGACATCTCAGTCAGGAGAAGCAGTAGCTGTACACCGAGACATTCTCGAACATCTATGTTTGGCGGGCCATGTGGAAACGCGCGAGCCCACCAATTCGACTTAGAAGGCTAATTTCAGTTGCTAGTATCCGGGATCGATGTTTTTCATTCATGGCCCACGATTCATGACAGTAGGTGAGCATCGCCATGGAAACTGATCTGAATACATACAGCTTAGTCTTCATACTCAGCTGTGTCTTTTTCAAATCCGGGTCGACTACTTCATGCAGAACGTCGTTAGCCATACCAGTTCGCCTGTCGAACTCTTCCTCCCAATTTCCATCATCAGTAAACTTCTGCTCTGCCACACTGCTTTTCCTGCGTCTTAGCTATTCTGCGACACCTGTTTTCTAACGCCTTTATATAAACTTTTCCAGGGAGGCTGAATAATTTAATTCCCACGATCAGTCTCTATGGTTTGCCTTGTAGGGACTACCACCCAAGTTTTCCATTTCACCGGTGTCTTTTCTGTAGTCATTACTGTCTGAGAGACACGTGTTGGCCACTACACTGTTTCCCTAAAGCTTTAAGCATTAATTTTTGATTTATGGATGGCTGCAGCCTTGCCACCTTTCAGGTTTTTAACAACGTCAGTGACTTC